GCGTTGAACAACCAAGCGGGCAATGGTGGTGCCAGCGCGGCTGGCGGGGCAGGCGGCGGCGCTGGCCTCGCAGGTGTCGCCTCTCTCATAGGTAGCTTTATGCAGGCCAACGCTGGCGGCGGTGGCTCTGCCGGCCAAGGCAAGGCGGCCGCATCCGGTGCCATGCAAATCTTATCCGGCATCGGCAGTTTGCTTGCCAATGCGGGCCAAAATGGTGGACGTGCTGGCGGCAGCGCTGGTGGTTTCGATCCGGCCATCATCGGCAATGTGCTCGAAATGTTTACCAACAGCGATGCAGATTCGGAAGATGCGGGCGCTGGTGCGCGCAGTAATGGTGGAAATGATGCTGGCATCGGCTTGGACTCGATACTACAAATTGCCTCTGTGTTTATGAACGCCAACACGGGCGGTGGAGGCCAGCAGCAGCAGCAGCAGCGACAAGCTCATCATCAGCAAAGACGCTCAACGCACGATGATCTAAATATGCGTCAGAACGAAGTTGACGAAGATTCCGAGGATAACGGCGGTTTGATGAGTCTCTTGCCCTTGGTCATGCAGGCGGTTAGCTCGTTTGCAGGCCCAGAGGGACAGCAAACACAAGAGAGGCACAAAGGTCACGCCTGGGTGTTGCCACCGTTCTTGGAGCATTTACATGTTGTATGGGATCACTTCTCGAACTCGGAACTCGCCGATGCGCTGTACGAAAAGTCAGGCGTGAACAAAATCTTAAAGGTAGTTCCCCTTAAAACCCGATTGTTTGCTTGCTTTAGTAATCGACTTGCGTACTTATTTTATATTTATGTGCTCTAGGGATTCAAGGGCCGCGATGGTAAATTAGACTATGACAAGCTTTTCGATTCGCTGAACAATCAGTCATTCCGCAGACGTTGGATCAAGTCGGCGACGCTCTACCTAGCCGACTGGGCCAGCTATTTGGCAAATCCGGAAGTCTTTCTCAAGTAAGTTTAAGCAAAGCAGTGCTACATATACTAAATATAATGGTAAATAGTGCAAACGAAACCTGTTAACTCAATTGTACTTGTCACTTCAAACTACAAGTGTATCGTGCAGAAACTACAGTTAGTCCAGCTGATTATTAAACACACAAAAAACTTTATTTCTCATATGTGCTTGAGTTTGAGCACCCTTTCATCAGTGTCACACAAATAACTCATTCTCCTAAAGCCCAAAAAGAAAACCAACAACACCAATTCCTTCATATTTAAACTCACTCATAATCATCTTTCTTTACATAGTTCTCACTTTGGTATTTACGAATTTTTCCATACCGGTTTTTTGATTTTATTTTGATTTACTTTCGTCTCCTTGATTTTGTCGCTTACTCATACAACCTCAAAATGTTGCTGTTACCAAAGTGTTGACCCACTTTTCGGCATGTTAGCGGCACGATCCGCCTCGCATTTATGGCATCGCGGCTCAACCAGAAGGCGTTTTCAAAGGCATCAGCCCAGTGCCTTACTTTGTCACTGCGCACACTTAAACCTGGGTTTTGGCATTGGCTTTGATTGCGTCGCGCAAAATTTTTCTTCAATTCATTTTCAGGTGTTACAGTTATTCAGTTAGCGTCATGTTCTTCTTACAATGTTAATTATAATTGTAAATAGAGAAAATAAATATTTTATTCTTGTCACGATTCGTTTAGTGAGGCGCCCTATTTGGCTCAAATTAATTGCTAATTGAAATTGGGTTGAGTATAGTGGGTTGTAGCGACGCGTTTTCGCAGAGTTTGTAAGGTTTCAACTCCAATATATATAGACACATGCCCAAGTTAACCATTCATTTTCTGCATATTAAGTTTAATTGTTTTAGTTGTATCACTGAAAGCCTAATTTGTTAGTCTAAAGGAAAGCACTAGCTCCACTCAGTAGGCATAGCGCAATATCGATTGGAATGAAAAAAAAACCTCCAGAGGCATCTTCCAGAGAGGCGCACTGTCCTCTTCTCTGTGGCGCATGGTGGTGAATGAGTATTTATTAAAGTTTAAAACAAAAGGAATAAAGATCACCTATGTCGGGCTATATATGTATGTATGTACCTAGCTCATCCAAATTCCGGCCCACGATAAGGTACCAAAAGAAAGATTACTAGGCGGCATCTTTGAGTATTATTTATTTAGAAATGGGATTTTCTGTTCTTCGGTTGGCAGTAGCTTTGTCTGAGCATTGGCCCAGGGCTCGATACCATTTTCTAGAAGCTCTTGTATTGTCTGCAGGGACAATTCGTAGGTGTCTTCAAAGTGCTTCGACTTGTCGATGAATCTACATATTTATTCTTTAAATGCAACATTAAATGATTTTGCAAAACGAATTCGCTTAGTGTTTCTAGTCTTTCAGATACCAGAGCTGGATATCTCCAAAGATAATGTACGATACCGTAAATTGTACGCGAGACTTATTTTGGCTGCAAGTTCTCCGAGGGCGCCAGTATATCATGATTGTGGCTGTTAACCGGACGACATCTTTTCTTGAGATATTCCGTTTTTGATTTGTCTTACAATTTCGCAGATTTGTAGGTTCTTCCTATGGGTTTTCTATTGTTATACCATTAAATTGTAAATGTTTGAGTACTCCTTCAAAAATTTCTCTCAATATTCCAAAACCCTCTCGTTCCCTAGCACTTCCGATTGGAAAATTCTGGCATTTAACAATTATCAAAAAATGCGCCAAATAGTACAAAAGCTAATAGAATTATCCTCGACTAATCTGCCTCTATTACAATCTATAGAAGTTTTCCTTCAAATCCAGTATAGGAGTTATGTTGTCCAATTGATTCCTGATTCTAAATAGCTGTCAAGGACACAACTAGGCCCGTATTTCTTCGCCCTCCAATAGCCTGACTCTTTGAGTGAGTGGGAGCATGTGAGTCATCAAACAAAAAGTAAAGTAAGTTATAGCAAGAAATATCCTCATGAAACACAAAGTTGTGCGATATCTTAACCTGGCGTAAACTAGAGCAGCTCATTAAACTCAATTAATGTCTTTTTTTTCGTTTTTTTGGTGATTCCGATGGCTCGGATTGACGCTAAGAGCACTTTCCGAGGTCGACAAACAAAGCTCCCTTTAACATTTCGCTAATTGTTCAACGAAAAAGATACAGGACACCAATGTTGCCATATTCACAGTTTTGACTGTAACTCATAGTTGTTTAGACAAGCTTACAGTTTTCTTCAATTATATACTAGTATAATTTACCGTTTTGTTATAATTTCACATTTTAAAGAACAAATTAAAATATGTGTTTTGATTTTTTGAAAGTTGAAATGCAGCATATTTTCTTTTGAATAAAAAGAAGTACGATGTATTCCAATCATAGGGTTAGAAAAGCTTAACATTCGAAAAATACTTTCGTTTTTGAAGGTTACAGTTTTTTTTTGTTGGAAATACAGTGTTTTTTCTTATAATTTACAGTTTTTTGAAAATAAAATCTGTCAATACTTATACGACAATCTTCAGTTTGTTGAGTTCTAGTAAAAGTCGTTCAATGCCACCACCAAGTGCAGCGGATAATAGTGTTACTGGTTGAAATTATGACGCTATTGCTTAGCATCCATTCGATCCAAGGTACATTGAACAGGTAGTATCAGTAGAGCAGCTGATTTGATTTATTTTCAAATTATTTGGTCTCGAAAATGTCAAATATTTTTAATTTTTTCTCACGAAAATTATAAGTTGTTAAAATCCATTTGCTTGTGAAACCTTTTTCCATACAAAACAAGCGATTGAATAGCAGCTTTTGGAACGTTCGCCCAACTCGGCAGCACGACCGCTGATTACTGGGCCTTGCAAAGGATGGATCAATGCTTCGAGAAGCAAACAAATTTACTAGGAAAGAAAGTTGCATCAATTTTTATTTTTTCCAATTTCAATTTTTTATTTTTTATAATTTTTTGTATTTCACATGGCACGCTTTGATTTAGAAGAAAAAATTCAGAACAGTTGTTGACACTTTCGATACCAGAAGCAACAACAAAATACACGCAAATGTTGTTTTTGCTCTACTGATACTACCTGTTTAATGTGCCTTGATTCGATCTATCTGCATACGGGGTTAGATACACCAACGTTCACAAGCGATTGTTATATTGTTAAAATCTCTCCTCCATGCCATCTAGGCAGCAAGTGTATTGCTTCGTAGAGGGCGCGTCGTTGAAACACCTCAGATGGCTTTCGCAATTTTAATTTTTTTTTTTTTATATACCAAGCAACCAAAGCTTTCATCCTGAGTCGTAATTTTTTCATTGCCATGTATAAAATACTTTTTTATGGACTAAAAATATTTCTAGAATATGCAATTTCATCTTAACGGATATAACGTATTAAATATTTGCGCTAAATTTCATGAGATTTTAAAAATCTATACTAACACAGCTGAAAACGAAATTAACATATTTTTAAACGTTATAGAGGTCATATAAGACTCAAATTGTTTATGTTTCTTGAGTGTAAATACCAAGTGCATTGTTTGAAAAGGTGTATCTGATGGCTAAGACTTTGACTATAGCAAATTTAAGACAGTAACGATAATGCAAACATGTACATTAGACCGTACCGGAAAAAATTTTCGTCGTAAGGGCCAAATTATTTTAGCAAAACAATATAGAAAAAAAAAATATATATTTTTTTTGTAGGAGTCGACTTTTTACATTTTTTTTCATATATTCGGAATTTACAGTCGAGTCTTAAAGTATGGTATACTGATGTTCTTGTCTCGAGTAGCCAATGTGCTTTTGTTCCAAAGCCCATTGACCTCAAGTGTCCCGGTCCAGTACTTACCCACTAGATCACAACTCTAAATCACCCTAAGCTACTC